TGAATACAACTAACAGGGCAGGACTTTGAATTTGGCTTGTCAATCCCATTGTCAGTGCTAATAGTTGTTTAGCTACCTGCCCTGCCAACACGTATTAGCATATTTGAAAGTGCTTACACACACACACACACACACACACACACACACACACATGCATACACACACACACATGCATATGCACGCAAAACTAAATTGGTGACAATCACTTCACATTGTAACACTGGTTCCTGTACAATCACCAAAGCTAAACAATGTTGAGCTTTGTCAATAACTAGATGAATGACAGCCTGGGAATAACAGGCTTGGATTTGCAGGTGGTGTAATGAATAATGGCTTGGAATTTTTAAATGGAGAGTTTGAGTTTCAATTCCTGTTGGATACATTATATTCACTTAAAAAACAATGCCATTGGGAAAAGTATGACTCCACGTCTTCTACCCTCCAGCTATGAGTTAATTAGTAAGAACTGTATCACTAAATCATTATTACTCTTAAAATCCAAAAAATATTTTCTGGCTTTAAATAACCTGCAATGTATTGATAGGCTGCAGAAAATGAATGAATGAATCAATCAATTAATCAAAAAAAAAAAAAAACCTAAATGCTCAGAACCACACATGTCTATACACAAAGCCTCATTCCCAAAACTACAATCTCATACACTTATATAAATAAGCACATATACAATAAAATATATGTATGTATATGTGTATGCACACATAATATTCACACACAAAATTATGGTACAGAATCCTGCATAAAAGCAATGACAATGAGAGTGCGTGTGTTGTGGGGAGGTGGGGGGTTAGATCCAAAATCAGAAATCCAGGGTTGTAATTCCAAATGTTCAAATTCAAAAATACCATGGTCGTAATTCAAAAAAGGTAAAAAATCTGTAATCTGTATCCTCTACTCACAACATAGAACTTCCCAGACTACATGCATCCCCTCTCGACTATACCAAGAAGATCCAGAGGAATGCAGGACATTACCAGACTTGCCTGAAAGTTGTCAGTGTTGACAGCCAACCCCGCCTTTGGTGCTTCACTCTGGGTTTTCTGTCTGGATATACTTCCATAGCCCTTTCGATGTTTGGATATGATCACAACATAGCAGTGGTTGAAAATCACGGTTTTCCATCCCCTAGATGGACTGACTTCTCAGGCTGTCAAGCTCCACCTACTCAAAGCAGCTAATTATGAGGCACCAATTTTCTGTCTTTGCCAATTCTTTGGCTTGGACCTGAACTTAGTTGTCAGAGGCTATTTGAGATGCATGTCACTGAAGAATTTTATAGACATTGGGAGTTTGTCCTCACTATCACCCCTGGGTATGACAACCTTTCGAAAATATATAATGTATGTATAAAAAACCTTATGTGTTTTAGAAGCTATAATGACAACCTTTTGAAAATATATAATGTATGTATAGAAACCTTATGTGTTTTAGAAGCTATAATATATATATATATATATATATATATATATATATATATATTTAAGACATTTTTATGTTTAACATTCTTTTATAGATACAAATATTTAAGTAAATGCTCTGTTTATAATAAACAGTATTAAACAACATTTACCGGCCTGAATGTCTGAGAAATTTTCAAATAAAATATTCATCCTCTGACAGGATTTGAACCTGTATCCAATACGGAACTGTTATTTAGCTTGACGTGCCTTTAACCGATTTGATCACAGAGGAGTGTTCAGTTAGCAAGGTCGAATTTACTGTATTTGAACTTTAATCTTCTATGAATCTCTCACGTACATTCATATCTGCTCATGGCATATCAAATGTAAACAAACAACGTTACACATTATGAAATGGACAAAGTCCAACAATTATTTTAAGACATTTTTATGTTTATACATTCTTTTTATAGATAAAAATATTTAAATAAATGCTCTGTTTATAATAAATAGTAATAAACAACATTTATTGGCCTGAATGTCTGAGAAATTTTCACAGAAAATATTTGTCCTCTAACAGGATTCGAACCTGTATCCAATATATATATATATATATATATATATATATATATATATATATATATATATATATATATATATATATATATATATATATATATATATATAAATAATAAATAAAGAAAGCGGTTATAGTAGTTCCAGCAAGAGAAAAGCTGTATATTAAAAAGAAGAATGTGGATTTCTTTTAAAAAATATTATGCTTTATTTTCCATAGAAATCCACATTTCAGCCAAAAATGTTTGCGGTTTCTCCCTTATTTTTAATATATATATATATATATATATATATATATATATATATTAATTCAAATAAACAGGTCAGAAATGACTGGCCACTACTTTTAGTATCATGTTCTTTCACAAAATCATCAGGTAGCCAATGACTTGTAAAAAGATGAATACCCTATACACCAATGGGTAAATTCAATTTGACAAGGAAACCAAACCTGCACAGTTGTGGGCAAAGCTAGATCTGCCATTTCTTGTGGCATGGATCACTTTTATACCAGAAGGCTGTTTTGGGCAGACTCTATTCAGAGCTTCTCATTTAAACCCTGGATATATATATATATATATATATATATATATATATATATATATATATATATATATATATATATATATGTGTGTGTGTATATGTATATATATATATATATATATATATATATATATATGTATGTATTTATGATAAAATATAGTTTTATGGTATGCTATATTTATGGGTTATTATGGGTTAAAGTGCTAAATATCAGGGGTAGACCATATGTAAATATAAAAGTGGATGTTGAAGTCAAGTGACAGTTTGTTTCATACTTGAATGAAATCTTCGGGCCATGTGTATTATCACCAGCATATATAAATAATCAAGCCAAAACACATCACACACAGCCTGAAGATTGCATTCAAGCATGAAACAGTCTGTTGCTTCTGAGTTTTGTCTTCAATATCCAGTTTTATATTTATATATATATATATATATATATATATATATTGAGGAATCGAAGAGCTGAGTTCTAATTCCAGTCGAATCCATTACATTCACTTACGTGCTAATACCCTTGGGAAACATGTGAATCCTCTTCTTCTCCCTCCAGCTATGGGTAAGTAGCAGGACAGACTGGGTTCTATAGCCTTGGATGGCAATTGGTCTAGGAGAATGACAACTCTGAATTCAAAAACTGCAGAGGGTTGTTTTTCGGACCTTGTGGCACTTAGTGCACCAGATCTCTGAATTCGGCCTTTCAAAAAGTGCGGCTGGTCTTGCACGAAACTTTCATCACTATAATCAAATCTCTTGTGTTGGTGTTGGGCTGTCGGTTTCCTGGGAACTGATCTGCTTGACCCTCATATGTTGAATTTGATGGGAGAGTCGACTATATATATATATATATATATATATATATATATATATATATATATAAATATAGAAAGTATATATATTCTATATATACTTTCTATATTTAGCAACAGTTTCTTTCTGTCATTCTGAAAATTATATTTTCTATTTCTTGTAAATTCTTTGTTGACATACTGAGTGACTTTCTTTAAGAAGACTTCTCTCTCTATGTACTATGTAACTTTTAGAACATGAGCAATCATGACTCTCTACAATTTCCTCTATTTTATGCTTCTAAGTAATTCTTGTTTCTTTATAACCCTTCTTAGTCTTTGTGTTCCTTGTTGTGCCATCCATTAACTCATAATCATTAAAATATTTCTCTCCAGCAGAAGCTACAGATTATTTGTATATCTTTCATTTAAATCAAATCTTAATAACATTTCAAGTTCTTTTCTAAAACCTGTATGGTTTCAATAGCTGTAGCAGCAGGAGTGGCGTTTTCTGAGCAAAATAACTTGACAAAGCCCAACTCTCTTCAAGCTGATTTTGGATTCAGAGTTTTTCCTTCTCCTAGACTGGTTACCATCCAAGGCTATCTGAGCCGGTCTGTCTTGCTATTTATGCATAAAGAGAAGAGATAGATTCATACCTTATTGTGTATTACTACATAAGTGAATGTAATGTACTTGACTGGAATATAAACTTGGTATTCTGATTCCTTAGTCCGAGCTGCTAAACATTACTCCACCATACCTCCAGTTCTTTATGTTGTACTTCATCAAATACTGTTTATAATCCTAATTATTAGTTCAGTTATTTGGCCCATCAAGCTGATAGTCTGATGAAGCTTGCATTCATTTGCTCTTAGTTCCTTAAAATCAGCTATGAAGATTGATCTACTGAGGTTTCTAGCATTTCACCACTATCATATATTTCATTTATCACTTTGGTAACCTTAAAAATTATAAAGAATTATCTAAGTCAGTCAACATGACTCTATACAGCCCTGCAATCTGTTTTTTTGCTTTGTCTCTTCATTCTTCATTTGCACATAAGCTGTTGTTTTCTTTTTAAAGAGAAATAAAATTTGACAAGCTAAGAATGAAGAAAAATAACTAAAGAAATGTAAGAAAATTACCAATGAGATGGAAGTTATCCCATTTGTATTTATGAATAAATCTGATTAAATTCTTTGTAATCTTTCATATATTTACAGAATTACACCTTAGGCCCAGAAATCACTCTAGAGCTTGTAACCATGAGACATTTTCTCCTTTTGATGTCAATGTCCATATAAGTCTTCTGTAAAGACCAATTCAGAATAGAGTGTATATCTCTATTTCCATTTCTTTGAAAAGCAATGAGTGATCAGTCTCTGGAGTTGACTTGTCATTTGATAGAGTTGGATATAAGAATATCATAATTTGGACAGAATTTAGTGGAAAAGAAATGGATAAAAGGAAAAGTGAAAGTGAAAGTGAAAATGAAAGTAAAAAAAAACAACATTAAAATAAAAAATAAAGTGCAGGCAATTGAAAAGAGAAAGTGCGGAGAAATGGAGTCACTGGAAGGAGAGAAAGAGAGGTAAAGGTATAGGGCAGGGGAAAGTGAGGAAAATGTATAAGAGGGAGAAAGATATAAAGTCGTAAGAAAAAGAGGAGGTCAGGTAAAGGCATAGGAGAGAAAAAGTGTGCATAGGAGGGAGGAAGTAAGGTAACAATATAGGAAATGGGAAAAGAGGTAAAGGCACAGAATAGACAGAGGAAGATGTAAAGGTATAAGAGAGGGAGGAAATGAGTTAAAGTAAAAATGAGATGGTGAAAGAGTGATGAAGATAGGTAAAGGAGTAAAAGATGTAAAGGAAGGTTTGGGAACTTGAAAAGAAAAGTAAAGTTTTAGGAACGAGTAGAAGGGTGGTAAGCTTAGAAAAAAGTAGAGAAAAAGATAAAAGTATAGAAGAGGAAAGTGAGGTAAATGCATAGAACAGATAGAGAAGGAGAGAAATGACATTGGAAAATGAGAAATATAGGTAAAGATGCAAGAGAGAGGAAAAATCAGTAATGATGTAGGAAAAGCAGAACAGAGATAAAAGTATAAGAGTAAGGGAATGTGAGGTAACAACATCAGAGAAGGAGAAAGATTTGGCAGTGGAGAGTGGTAAAGAATGGTAAAATCATAAAGGAAGGGGAAAGAGAGATAAAAATACATGAGAGTAGAATAAAGAGGTAAAGGAATAGGAGAGAGTGAAAGTGATGTAAAGGCATAGAAGAAGAGAAACAAAACATAGTGGCATTGGAGGGTGGGGGAGAATGAAAAATGAGAAATAAGCAAAACATTAGAGCTTAAGAGAAGAAGAGGAGAAGCAATAGGATGTCGGCTGCTAAGTGTCAGAAGGCAGTGTTTAAACCTAATTAAAAACTTTGGTTTTGGAATGGAGATTTTCAAGGAAAGCATGTAAGCTTTTTCTAAGAAGTTCAACACAAACTTTTCATTTAAGTTTTTCTTCCATTTCAACCACAAAATTGAAAAAAAGAAAATAAGAAATACTTGGAAGGCAAAGCTGTGAAAGAGATGAAGAAAAAGGAGTGTCCTGCTTTGTGATTGGGTTATTATTTATGCCTATCTATCTATCTATCTATCTATCTATCTATCTATCTATCTATCTATCTTTTAGCTTATTCTGTTCATATCTATCAATATATCTATCTATTTGGCATATGTTCTTTCTTTCTTAGTCTTTTACATATCTATCTATCTATCTATCTATCTATCTATCTATCTATCTATCTATCTATCTATCTTTTTAGCTTATTCTGTTCATATCTATCAATATATCTATCTATTTGGCATATGTTCTTTCTTTCTTAGTCTTTTACATATCTATCTATCTATCTATCTATTTGACATATGTTCTTTCTTTCTTTCTTAGTCTTTTACATATCTATCTATCTATCTATCTATCTATCTATCTTTTAACTTATTCTGTTCATATCTATCTTTATATCTATATATCTATTTCGTATATTTTTCTTTCTTTCTCTCTTTTTTCTTTCAAGATCTGTTTATATCTAACTTTTTTCTCTCTCTCTCTCTTTCTTTCTTTCTTTCTTTCAAGGTTTGTTCATATCTAACCTACCTTTCTTTCTCTTCCTTATCTATCTAATCTGCTGCTTTTGTGTTTTCTATTGATTTCTATGGTCAGTGTTCATACCCTAATAGAAACTAGAATTTCAGTTGGTGATTTTCAAGGCCTTTCTCATTTTGAAGACTGACACAACCCAATCTTCTTACCTTCATTTGCCCCATTTAACCTTTTATCCTATTAACCTGGGCTTTACAAATATCCAGAAAAAACCAAGAAGGAAAAGAATAAATGAACATGGGCAAGAAAGAGGAAGACAACAATAAATATATTTGATGTAGAGATTTGGCTAATAATAGCTACACTGTTCCATGAATTGCCCTCAGGGGAAAACACTCCATGTTTTTTAATGGCATGCCATTGTCCTTTGTTTCTTGCTGACATAAAGCACTCTCCACTATTGTTTGTTCAATTCATATAATAAAAAAGCTTCTATTGATTTTGAGTTTAAACTTTATTCTGCATGACTTGTTACGATAAGAGAATAAAGACCAAATAGAAAATAATATATTCTCTAAGAAAACCTTTTTATGATTTAATACAAATTAATAGATTAGTTATCTTACAAGCAGAAATGATTGTCCACTCTTTTATCCTACAACCAAACTTAATTTTAAGCATTTAAAAAAATCCAAGTTTCCTTTTAATCATAATACTAAGTCATTTGTTTAAAAAAAACATTCATTTTGTTTTATTTTATTTAGTTTTTTATTTTATTTTTTAAGTAATTGTTATTTTTTCACATAATGAATTTTTATATAATTTGAGAAACTGAAGCATTCTGATTTAGAGATACGCTTGAAATTTTTTACACCCACAAAATTATCTTCATGTGATCAGTTGTGATAAAAGCAAAGACTGTTTTTGCTGATTTCATCCATATCTTTTGAAAATAAGTTTATGACGAAATGAATGGATTTGAAAATCTTAAATCAATTCAACATTCTATTTTCTCTGATATTCGATGTGAACATGTTATGGTTCAGCTGGGCTTTTATTTTTTGCTCGGGGAAGAAGTTACAATACTAGGGAAGAAGTTACAATACTAGGGAAGAAGTTGTCTAAGTGGAAGTTGCTTTTTATCAAAAGAACACGAAGGGAATGAGAATGGTTTCCCAACATGAATGCAGCACGACAGGTCCTAGTTGCGAAGGTCTGAACTGGTGAAACTAAGGAATGCAACTCATCCAAACATCTGTCATATTAATAGCAATATAGTAGTGAAATATCGGCAACATTTTGCCTGTGGGATAAGAGTTGCAAGGAGAAGAACAATTCATCACCTTTAAGACCAGGTGTTTTGAGGCAGCACCAGCCCGTATGTGATAGCAATATGACATTCTTGGTCTGATCTTGGTCTTATAAAGATAGATTCTGGAGTTAGTTATTTTCCGGAATGATTCAATGAACCAGCCATTCTTCCAGCATCTTTTGTAATTAAATGAATATAGACTTTCCATATGGGGTGGGGAGTGAGCTTTAGTGATAGACAGGTCAGCTGCCAGACACTGATGATCAAGATGTTTGGAGATGCATCCATACACTGAGGTATCATCTGCATATATATTTACTAAAGTCTGAGAATATTCTTAGACAGATTGATATAAAGTAGAAAGAGAGTAGGACTGAAGAGAGACCTTTGAAGTATGCCAGCATTGATTCATGTACCTGAGAGGTCTGACTATTAGCAATGACCTTCATAGACCTACCTGATAGGAAAAACTTGATAACTGATAGGACTCTCTCCTTGATTCCATAGTGAGTTAGATTGTGTAGCAATCCCCTATGCCACATCTTTTCAAAGGTCTTTGAGATAAATAAGGGGACCATTTTTGAGAGATTTTTATTATCAAGAGTTTCACTGATTCTATTTGTAATGATAGTTATGACATCAGCAGTGGAACTAGAAGAGCAAATACTATACTACTTGTTGCTCAGGAATTGTTTTTTTAGGTATTCAATGACTTTCTTGTTTATGATAGCTTCAAAAAGTTTACTAATAACACTAATGAGATTGATGATGCTGGAACTTTTGTCTGGTGCTGTTCAAATGAAACATAAAGAAAACAACTTTTATTATGTTTATTATTTTAATATTATTATGTTTAGTATCTTAATACTAGTATTATTATGTTTATTACTATTTCAACAAGATTAGCATTATTAATAATTATATTTCTATGATAATTAATTCTATTGTTACATCACTTTCAATTAATTACTTTATTCTCATTTTTGTAGCTACTATTTTTGCATAGTCATTAGTTAACAATTTTTTTATTTATTTACATGACTATTTTTTTTCTGATGTGATCCATGCCCATTATTGAAATTCTGTCGGATAAAGGTTAAAATATTTTAGTGTCCATTTCTTTTCCATTTTATTCTTTTTTCATGAAATTTTATTCTCAAAAGAACCTTCTATATTTTCTAGAAGAGTCATTATCATTCCAAGAATTATTTGGACTACCAAATTTATTCATTGTGAATTTCAATATAAAATTTCAAGACTCAGAAACTTGTTTCCTCTGCAGGGAAAGAATTAGAAAGTATCCTTGCATAAGAAAATATGAATCTTTATATATTACATGGTTTGCTGAAAATGGAGAGAATATGTGACTCACACTGCTGGGAATGAGCCATCATTTCCTTTCTGTTTACTCCCATTTACTAAATAAAAGAGACACCTCTCTTTGTTTAAAGATTGTACTTTTGAAGAAGACAGTTGAATGAATTGGCTAGAATGTGATGAGAATTGGTTCTTGGAAATTTTATAAATTACAAAAAGAACATTCATCTGCTGAATGTTATTCTTTTACTAAGTGCTTTATCCTTTTAGGACATGAGTGAATATGGTTCTCAATAACTTCTTATTCCTTGCTGCTCTAAGCAATGTTTTTCTTCTGTCTATCTCTCCCACAATCCATTGTGACATCCATTTAGATTAGATCATTAGAAAAAAAAAAAGAACATATTTATGATGTACTTTAATATATGACATTAATATTAATATTATAGATAATTATAAGGAGGAAGTTCCACTCAGACAACTTTTTCCCATGAACAGATTTCCATGCAGATGCTTCTACAAACATGTCAATCTTAACCTCTTCAACTCAAGGGTCAATCTCAATTCTGTCCATCTTGCCTTCAATTTGTCCTGTGAGTATCAAATATTTTAACCCTTCTTTCCTTATCTGTCTATATTTCTGAGATGAGGTATTATATACATTATTTACATTATTTGGACTATTGTTCTCATCTTTGTTGCCATATTTATAACAATGTTTCGGCCGTTGTACACTCCGGCCTTCTTCAGGTGGGTGGAATGTCGAACTGAACCCTTTATTTTGCTCACTGGGGTAGACTGTTCTAGTTCCATGAGCCATGTGTAATGGATGTTAGTTATTAGTTATCTCCTGTTAATTTTCTTCTGAAAGTTCCCTATTGCCTTAACCGGGTATTGAACTCACACTCTTTGGGTCCTAACGATGTATCTTAGAAATTACAACTGTCTGTTTCTAATTTTAAGCATAAATGTTCATTTTGCATTCATTTTTCTTAAAACTTCCTCATTGCTGACATGATCCATCCATGGCATTCTCAGAATCCATTCTCAGATCTATGCTAACAGTTTCTCCCCTCACACTTCTTAAGTGTAGAACTGGCCTCTTGCTTTTCTGTAAACCATGATCTTCAAAAATTTAAATAGAGTATCAATCTTGTCATCTGTCTTTTTGTATCTTTTTATGCATTTTCTTCAATATTTCCTCAGTTTTCTCTCACTATATTAGTGGCTTCTGTAGAACCACATCTCTGTTGCCTCAAGTCTCTGCTTTAAGTACAAGGAACGTGTCCAACATTTATTGCTATATAGGATATAATAGTTCAGCATTCTTTCTTTTGTTTCTAATGAAATTTTCCTGTTTTTTAATACAGGGTACCCAGTAAAAAATGCAGTAAATTCAGAAAGAAATTTATTTAGTTATCATGTTTAATGCTCAAATTCAACAATCATTGTAGATGTTTGAGATGTTTGAATGTCCAATACAAAGTTGTAAGCATG